AAAATGTAAAATGTAAAAGTATGGGAATTCGAACGAAAACGAAAAAAGCTTTTGATCGAATTTTAGGTTGCGAGTACCCTATTGAAATTTCAAAGAGTAAACAATGGAATAGAATCTATACAAAATGTATTTTACATACAACGATATAACAACCACTACATATTCCATTAACACAACGAGGCAGGACTTACAAAAAACAATAAGTGTAAAATTAACAATGTCAGAAAACAAACACTTGAATGAATCAACGGGCATTGAAATGATCTTTTTTTCTCTTGACAATCATTTTGAATTCAAATCAATCATAGCAATTCAAAAAATCAAACAAATTCAATCATAGTTGAAATTTTTGAGAATATTATTAGTGAATAAAACAGTCATATAAATTTTTTTTAAATAGCATTAGGCATTTAAACAAACACACTTTTCCCTGGCGTGACATTGTGCAACATTTCACACCTTTAACTAGACATGGACAATTTTTTGCCACATGGTTCCCTTGACAATTGGATGCTTTGAATTTGCACGTGTACTAACGTATTCTTTACAAGGTTGGTAAGGTTGACCATAATTGTGGTCACAATTTTGCAGGGGAAAGTTTCGGGCACCCTGTCCGGAGAACCCCTCAAAGCGATTTAAAATTTTTTTGAAGTGATTCTCATCAATAACTTCATGAGATCTAGTAGTTCTGAAAGTTTCATTTGATTCTAAGATGGTCGCCGTAAAGTATGTACCACAAGTGTACCGTAAGTGTGTACCGCTCCCGATAAAATCATTCTGCTGTCAGTTGGAATAAGAGGACTTGTTATTAGGACTTTCTGCTGTTGATGGTTATTCACTGTATCAGATAATCGTCTTTTAAGATTTCGGTGAATAATAGGAGGATCCTGGTTCATGTTTGTTGAGCTAGGTATTGCCAAGCTTAAATTGCTGCTTTGTTTCTATTTTTCTAAATCGTGTGAGAGATGTGTTGTTTTTAAATGTTAGATAGTATTGGTTTTAAGGGTGACTTCGGCTTACATCAAACGAAAAGTGAATAGACGCTACGTTTTTGTCCAAATCATCGAAGCGTTTCTATGGTGACATCACTCCTTTCTCTTTTTCTTTTCTACCATCATTACTCAACCGAACTGAAACTTGTTGTTTGAGTTGTGACATAACAAGAAGGAAAAAACATTATACTTGCATAGGAGTAGAAAGTTTAGAATTGACAAAATAGTAACAGCAGCTGATTTTACATTCACATTTATTTAATTAAGATTTAAATTAAAACTTTTTGTATAAAAATATTTCGAAATTTGTCGTTTCAAAAATTTTCATTTTCATTTTCAAGACAATAGAGACGTTTAACGCGACATAAAATTGAAACAAATATGACTGAAGAAGTAAAAGGAATATACAGTTTGCTTTTGGCAAGAGAGAGAGGAATAGACGTACTTTTTCATAAATGTATGAGAAAGGAAAATATATGCTTTTGTGAAAGTAAGAGAGGAATAGACCTTATTTGTAAAAGATAAAAGATAAAATAGAATGTGGTACAAAAGGTCAAAAGGAAAAAAAACATGTCCGTCCTTGTTCATAGACAGACCGGTCGCCTTGTCCAAATGTTCATGGCCGAAAGAAAATTTTGTCCATGAAGTCAACAATTTTTTTCGATTTATCCTAGAAAGATGTTACGTAGTTTTCTTCAGAAGGTAGAGTATAGTATTCCAAAAAGTAGTTCTATTTTACATGCGTGAATATAGCTGAAAGAAAAGATATATAATACGCCGTTGTCGTTTCTCTCTTTATTTCATCTGTAGAGTAGAATTTCTTATAATTACATCGACAATAGCTAATTCTGCAATTGTAAAATGTTCACAAAAAATTTTTAAATTTTTCGTGCCTGTCCATGTCTGTCCACGTCCATGGACAACTCACTAAAATCCATCGACAAGTCCATCTAATGCAGATCTTTATAATATTTCCTGTCGTCGATACTATACACTCCAAGCAGACATTCGTTTTTGAGGAAGGTTATGATGTAGTTCTGTATTTGAAAGTACACTGAATATCGAAAGTGTTTTTTTACACAACACATTTCTTTGTGTGTGTGAAAGTTACCTGCCTTATCTTATTGCCATCAAATAACTGGCTGTTACTCAGCGTACACAATAAATTACAGTAAATATTGGAAAACAAAAATCGGTACTTTCTTGGACTTCAAAAGAAATAATTAGTCAATATATGCTATTGGACTGAATGAACATTGAATCAAAATTCGAATACCTCAAATGGCAATTTAATTGGTTTAGTGGTCTTCGTTTTAATTTCTTTATGCAACACGCCTGTTGAATGAAATTTTGTCAAAACCAGTTCATCCAGTTAAAAATCAACGAAGAGTTCGATAAAAATGGAATCGTAAAGTATTATAAATGGATCATAAAGATATCATAAGGGATTATAAAGGAATTAATAAATTCTCGGAGCGTAAGTGTAGAAACACACAGAATTCTTAAAGATTAGTTATGATCGCAACGTCCTCTCTATAGGTCATCGCTTAGGAGTCTCATTCGCGAATTACACAACTATCTGACAGCCACGTCAACGCGATGTTAGGCGAGTTTAAAATGCTATTTATTGTTTATGTTGATAACAAAAAAATGTAACCTTATCTAACAAACATTTCTTTACAATTCTTATAGAAATATTTAAGTTTGAAAAATAGTCTGGATTGTGCCTCTCGTTTAATTAAATGTCAGCAGTTTTGCAAATATTTTGTTATCGTAATACTCCATATCATTCAACAGTACACTACCTGATCGCAGGACTAAAACGATATGACATTACTTCACTTTCGTATAAAAACGAAAACAAAAAGTTTTGTTCTATTCTTATCTTTTAATATTCAAAAATATTTTGTGCTTTGTGCTTTTTGTGTTTTTGTTATTATAGCCATGCAAAGAAACAGTTTCTTTCTGATAGAAAACAGAAGAAAAAGAATGGGAAACAATGTATGCTGGGGCTGAGATCGGACTTCAAGGTTGGCGACTGGGACTGATAAATTTTAGTGGAAAAGCGGACTGCGACTGATTCGGAGATAGTCTCTAGCGGACTGAGACTAAAAAAATACCGGATTTGCTCATCTCTGGTTTATATCATATCTTGGAATTATTCTGATTTCTATTTATACAACCATAAAACTTTTGGATCGCCGCTGAGCAAGCATTTTCAAAAACTTTAGCTTCTTCATCTTTCGTTTCTGCACACTTTCTGCATTCTACAATATGTTTTCTATGAACTTCTACTACAACAACATCGGAAAGCAGTTATTACATCCCAGAGGAGTCTCGCTGCTGTACAACAACGACTATGTGACATATTTTCTACTGATGTTGACAGGGTAGCACTTTTATCTTTTAGTATATATTTATATTTTTATAGGTTTTTTCCTCGCCTGTCGTAAACAGAACAGAAAAATAAAAGGATAAATCTAGTGAGTAATTTTTCTCATGTGAAAAAAAAGTGACAAAACCCGGGCAATTTTTTTCTGTTCTGTTAAATCTGTCAGGTATAACACCGTCATCAACATTGAGAAAAACCCAGTAAATGACTTGGCAATGTTTAAGATAGTGAAAAAATCCATAAAAATATCTATTAAAAAACCAACTACTTGTGAAGAAAAAGGCAAACGATATAAGCCTATATATTCACGCACACACAAAACTTGTTCATTATCTGAGTTAATTTTTCTGTTCAAAACCCAGGTTAGTTCCTTTGCTTTTCCACTTGCAGTTAATTTGGATAGACGTAATGCTACGACATATGATTACTTTATTGTGTTCATTAGCTAATTTCTGCAGAACTTAGTATTTTTTTCCGACTGAATGCTCTCGGATGTGCTATTCGTTCTTGCACGCTTTTTCACATAATTACATTTCGTGTTCCACACGATCTATATATTTTGTTACATAGATAGTGAACACAGGCCGTTAGTATAATATATAATTGCCAACAGCGTATGCAGTATTGGGCTAACTTTGATTCAAGTCAAAGTTTCGAACACCGGATGCTTCAAGCTTTGTTTTTTGATCGGATCGATATATTTTAGTCGTATTTTAATAAAAATGAACAAAAATGTAGCTTGGTCAACATCGTTGTTGGTGACATTGTAGGGCATACGTTCAGTCGTTTTTGTACATCAACGAGACTCCTCTGGAATCTAATAACTGTTTTCGGATGTTGTAGCAGAAGTTTCTAGAAAACATACTGTAGAGTGCAGGGAGTGTAAATGTAAGAATTCTTCTACTGAATCAGGGAGGGGCAGGTCACATAACTTTTTTCAAGTAACACACCAGATGCTAAACCCATACTATATGGGTTTTAACATGTGTCACTATCTGACAACACAATTATGTTTTATTTCGAAGAGATTTTAAAAATGATTTCCGATTTTAATTGTAATGATTCCGTGATATTAAGTCTTGATTATTTGTTTGTGATACTAGACTTGAAATAAAAATACCTTCAGTAAAAAGTATGATTCAAAGAGAATTTTGCAGGGCAGGACCAGACATAGGGCACAGAATTTCAGGGCTTTACACATCTTCATACTGAATATCCGCTGTTGTTGTGTTAACGATTAAATGATGAAACCAAGCGTTCCATTCTGCGATATTGGAAGTTTGATGTCTCAATAAAAAGAGTGGTGACTGATGTAAGGTCGATGACTACTAACATTGATCAAACGTTTTTTAGATTTCACCTTCAACAATTAACTAAATATAATAATGGCGGGTACACCCATGATAAATCTCCAATTTTGCTAAAATACAGGAAAAAAATTTACTGCTCTTTTCAAACCTGATTTTACTCTCGCCGATATTCATAAAAAGCTTGAGGAACAACTTGGTAGTGCAAACTTTCAACTACTTATCGATAGTAAACCGCTGATCAATGAAACATTCGCTGAACAACGAAAGAGCATAAAAAACAACACACTGATTCATGTTTTGCAACGAATGAGAGGTGGTTCGGATATGGTTGACATCGGCACGCATAAGGCGACTGTTTTAACCGACTTGGCAGATGAATTGCGCAAAATTCCTGTACAGTCAACAAATCGACAATGTCTATTATGCTTGGATGATAAATTATGTTTGAAGCTCTGCTGTACCGATATATGTAAGGAATGTTTTCCTGGAAATTTCATCAACTACGATTACAAGTTGAAATGTTATGTATGTTCTAAAATTGTACCAAACGAAAATTTTTTTAAAACCAATGAATTTATCCAGTCATTGAAAAAACTGGATCACACATCAGAATTAGTCAAAAAGATCGATTTTCAAATATGTCATTGTGGTTCGCTTGCACTCAACGAAACAATGTATTCAAAACAGCAATGTCAACAATGCAGTCGATGGATGTGTTTCTTTTGCAGTGCCGATTGGGATGATACAAGAATGAAAAATCAGAAGCATACGTGCACAGTCAATTGTGTATGGGAAACACGATTAAATTATCAGTCGGAATCGTGGCACGAGTCAACGCTACCAAACAGACGATGTTGTCCAAAGTGTGCCTTATGTGGTAGTCGCGATGACAAGTGTAAGTATCATACGTGCCTTTGTGGGCACGTATTCTGCTTTATATGTTTGGCTGCTAAAGCCGATTGTGAGAAAGCTCATCCGGGAGTGTCGTGCTATAATAGATGTACAACGGATGATAAAAAACAGGATTATTCGATTTTTCCAAGACTTATGTCATGAATTGACAGTTAAAAATACCACCAACAGAAGCATAAATATTTGAAACAATCTCGTTGTTTAGTTTATTTATTCACGGTTATTATGCATCCTTTTTCACTTGATTTCAAACCAGATATAGCACTTTTTGTTTGCATATTGTGTACACGGCGTTAAAATGTTTATTTTTTGTTCTGTATGACTAAATCAACAATTGTATGTAGATGAGCGTTATGAGAAGATATAATAACTTTTTCATTAAAACCTTCTTGAACTATACGTCTTTAATTCCATTTATTGTGCAGTGATATATGAGAGTGCAGCATGATATAATTTTCAAAGAAAATTTTGATGATTAATTAAACCGCTTAAACCTTCACTTGACTGATAATCATTGCGATCAATAGACTTAAAAATGTTTTTGATTCAATGTAGAGCTAATTTGCTGTTACAATCTTGTAAAAGTCTGGTTGCACCTATGACTTATAACAGCAGTAGCTTTTTGAATTTTCTAGATTTTGACAAAGGTTCTACTTGCAACTTTTCTTGGATCCATTTTTGACTTCATGCAATCATATAATATTAATCACTAAGGAAGAGTCTCATCAAATTCAGTTAGTTTTCAGGCAGATAGTAACTAAAACCACTTCTTCTTCGACAAAATGCCTTGCTTACTTTCGAGACGACGAAGACAACAAGAAACGACGGTAACGAACGGTAATAAACAGTCAACTACTCGTCATTTCGCCAATGCTTCCCTACCAAATATAGATGCGGAGAAAGCTATCAACCGATTTAATAGCACAAATCGCATGATAAAAATATTGCCAAGTATGTGTTTATTTCTGTAAGTTCATATCAAATACAAATATCTATTGTGGTTATCTTTGCAGATTATTCCACCACTCAAAGATTTGAAGAAAAAGAAGATAAAAACAATTCCATGCTCGTCTCATTGAAGAGATCCAGAGAAAGGAACAAAATTTTGTCTAATCAAGAAAGATACCCTCAAGCGAAGCGAAATCAACAGCTGTCTAGCTCGGAAAAGAAAAGGTAAGCATGGGAGAGATGTGCATCAGTATGACTTCCATTACCTATAGTCGACTCAAATTTTGAAGATGCACCCATACTCTGAGCATTTGTTTCAAAAACATAATCTGACATAAAAGAATTAAAAAAGAAGATATTCTGACAGGTGTCTTCTTTATATGATTTAGACAACGCATTTTAGCCATAAAACAGATAAAAAATGGACCGCGTTTCCTTCGAGGTATTCAATCTATCCTGTTGTACACAAGCCTCTGTCCTTCAACCCGCATCTACGCGTTCTCTGAAAGTTTAGGACGAGAAAGGCTAATATAAATAAGACCTTAGGCATTTTGTATACTAATATCTTCTGCGCACAACAGTCAGCGGTAAGCTGTTCAGATATATCATTTGAAAGAAATCAGACTTGAATCAACATGTTAATGCTAAACATTTAAAATAGTTCCATTAAATTTATTAGCTTCATTTGAATAACTGGCTTACGGAATACACAGTTTCATTTATTCATTAATTTAATCTGCGTATCAAACTCTACTTTTTAAACGACGGAAATAAACGCATCGCATACAGAAGCAGTATCCAAGCATTCCGCATCTGTACTCTCTAAAAAAAATCGTATTTTAAAAAGCTAAAAAAGGGCATTCCCGGACTGGGAAACCAAAATTAGTTCTTATTAGTAACAAATGCATATACCCTTTTTCTTCGGTTCTGGAGACTTCGAAATACCCTTTTCCGTATTCTAGAATACCCAAAGGGTATTTTAAAATATCAAACGGATATCTTACAAAACCACATTGGTCTCCAAGAATACGAAAAAGGGTATTTCGAAGTCTCCAGAACCGAAGAAAAAGGGTATATGCATTTGTTACTAATAAGAACTAATTTTGGTTTCCCAGTCCGGGAATACCCTTTTTTAGCTTTTTAAAATACGATTTGTTTTAGAGAGTACCAGGATTCGTGCCTGATAAGTTCCTCTCCGTCAAATTTCAAGCTGTAAAGGTCAAAAATACATTTGTTTTAGTTTGACATCCAATCAACACGAACTGAGAGCTGCAGACATTAACTTAGTGTCAAACGAGGACATGCGAACTCGACCGGCAAGAAAACGCTCATCATCCCTCATATTACAAAGTACACTAAGGCGCCGCTCAGTGTATCACCCGCAGCTTCAATTAGACGGAAAAGGTCCAGGGAGACTGGGTCTCGATAGTAATCTTCCACCAACAACATTTTCTCAAATCACAAATAAGCGCTCTCATCTGAAATATCCTTCGCAAAAATACGACGAACAGCCAGAACCGCAGGACATCCCACAAAAGTCTAAGCGCCAAGAGACGTTTGTTGCAGGTTTGTGCGGATTGACAAACATTGGCAATACATGTTTTATGAGCAGTGCATTGCAATGTTTGATCAGCATTCCTGACTTGACTCAGTATTTTCGGAATATGTTCAACAAACATTCGGATGGATGTCGAACTGTCTCAAACGCATTTGCA